TTATTATTATTATTATTATTATTATTATTATTATTATTATTATTATTATTATATTGTTACTAGGCTAATTATATCATTTATATATCATCAATCGTGGTGTCATCATTTTACGTTCAATGAATATCGCTGATCAACACGTTTTTAATAGTGCCTGTGATTTGCTTGATCTTTCGCGGCTCGTGAATAAAAAATAGGAGTCAGAGTACCATGACACCGCCAAGAATAATTAGTTGCTATAGCGTTGTTGAATACCAATCAAACCTAGACCTATGACTTTATGAGCAATTATTTACTTTAAACAAAAAATGCCTTTACGCTCTATGAGCCTTCAGACATGTTTAAAGGAAACATTCGGGTACTATAGGCTATCACCTTGTTATTTAGGGATAGGCCTAAATATCTATGTATTAATTCAAACGCGTTTAGCATGTTCTTACGTCATATTCTTTAAAAAATGTACTTAGGATTTTCTACTTAAATTAAATAACCTTCGTAGATTCAACATTCCTAGAAACGATCTACACAGTTTTCTCAGTAAGCTTATTATCTATCTTCTCAAACGATAGAGGGCGAACATTTTGTTAATAAAATCGTAACTGACGCAAACGCTGTGACTGCTTTTTATTTCCAAGGCAACAATGCTAGATGAACAACAAAAACGATATTAACATAATTATCTATGTATGGTTTCTGCGATTACGTTAAAATTTTGGATGACGTCAATCTGATACAGCATCATCTTGTGACGTAACGCCTGTGCGCTCTTATTGGGCGGACCACTCAGTACTCTACTTGCAGTTGCTTAGTTTCAGGGGGTGGGGGAAACGCTGTACGGTTGGGGGTTTCCAAGGTCCAACGGGGGTTTGGTTTAGAGAAAATCCCTGTTTGGAGTCCAACTCCCTGGCGCCTACAGGAACTTGAAAATAAATGTATTTAACATTTTAAGCCTTTATTACGTTATAGAACATGTTAAAGTATGCCCAATAAATAAAAATATTTTTCAAACTTTACATTTTGGTATGGGTCGTTATTCGTTATATTCTTTACTTTAACTCTTAAAATTGGATAGTGTTTGAAATTCTGTAATCAATGAAAACTGATTTTTCCCTGATCTGTAAAATTAATTTCAGCCCCGATTTCAGCACAGAATGTATATCTTGTATACAGCATACACAAACGAGGTTTTAGAAGTACGGTAATATAGGCCTACACAAACGTAAGCCTCGAGAAAAACACCAAACACACGCCGCAGCTTTGTTTCCTCGATGACATAATACACTGGCCTATGGTGCTCTGAGTCACAGATCTAACATTTTGATAAGATTACTATCCGACGGATATGTGCCCATCCTGTGAATGTTGGTACATCCGATGCCACGTGAGTAACCCATGACTCAAGTCGCTCAGCTCAAACCACACCGACTCTGACGAATGTACACTGACAAGGGGAGAGAGGTATAGTCTGACCATGATCGAATAACTTATTCCTCCATGGTCGGACTGGGGCGGACCGCGTTCAACTACGCATAATCTATATGAGGCAGCGACAGAACACACACGTATACCGTACAGGATACATATAAATAATCAAATAATAGTACACATACACATACATACATACACACAACCCCACCCACAAAAAAAACACACAAACACATACCCACACACACACACTGGAACACAAAAAAATAGCAATTCAGAAAAGTCATTCATGACGTCAATAAAAAAAAACAAAACTGACTGACCAATGAAAAGTGTGAGGAAATTCCCGATAATTTCCTTATTGTGTCTGTTTGCATTTATTTGAAAAAAACACCATTGATTTGAGTAGTGGAGGCAGGTGTACCAAGGTGGTACTAACCAAAATATGAAATTTTAGCGAGGGATTTGTCAAGCTTGATTTATAGCTTTAGTCAGGCATTGTTTATTTTTTGCCACAGAATTTACTTATACTAATAGGTGCCATCTACCTTATTTTCTTAAAACATGGCTTAAATTCACCTTTGACTTTGAAGTGTTTACTGGTCATCCCTGAATTCCTCCCGTTTCTGTTCTCTTTTTTGAGGTATTCAATCGGAAACAAACTCAAATGTAACAAGTAAACTCACACTTGCCAATCCATTTTTCTTTCTCAATGTCTACTCGTGTTTTGAACGGGAAATTGTAGGATCAATAATGCTGTATTTCTATATTTTAATGAAGTAGATTCTTGGTTAGCAACAATAGTGGTTGTGTGTGTGAACTATTTAACGATGTAGAAATTTATCTTTTTATTATCTTAATAACCAATTTATGTATTCAGGTGTTCAAAGCAAGATGCAAAAATGTATCACATGTTTTCCTTTTTCAAAAATTGGAACATTTAGAAATAATATGAAATTCATATATATATATATATATATATATATATATATTAATTACATTTTAAAAATAATAATGCATCATCAATGTATCTACAAAGAAACTATGAGACAGATGGTGTGAATTTTTTTTGTCAAGAATTTTGCTCCATATTTTACATAATGAGCTTAAATTGTCTTTCATAAAAAATTACAGAAAAGCATCTTCAGTTGGCAAAAACAGAATACTAAAACATTAAAATCCAGAAAAAAATATCTAAAAATTTCCTTAAAATTAGTTTTTAAAAAAAACCAACAAAATCATCATCCAATAATAGTACATCACAAGCAATTCATTTTTGTTACTGTCACGTATGGTTTTTAAATACATTTTGGTTTCTATGCATAGCAGTACAATGAACTCAATTGTATTGGACTTAATGAATGTAGAGGTTATTAGTATTAAACTTAACGCTGTTAGTCTGTTTTTTGTGGCAGCAGCAAGAAGGGCCAGTGACAATAATTTAATATTTTTACTTGGCCTAGCGTAAATGTATTGTATATTCAACAATGTGTATTGGGTTTATTGCACTACCAATAGATTTTCTTACTTGAGGTGTTTTATTATATTTCATATTCTTTATTGATTTCACATTATAATTTGTAATGTGAAATGATACTATTTTGCATTTAAAAGCCATAGAATCGATTCTTGTAAAGGTTAAATATTTAATGATATGAAAATAAAAGTAATGCGATAAAACTTCCATTTTACAAATCTTTAATTTTAATTACAAAATATAGCATTAAATTAACATTATATGAATGAATAAATACATCATAAAATGTTATTTAGAGAGGAATGGTAAAATTGCTGTTACATATAGCATTTAATTACCATCATATAAATGAATAAATACAACATCATAAAAGGTTCTTTAAAGAGGAAGGGTAAACTTGCTGTATTATCATAAAGTACAGCCCTGTTGGTAAGATTTTCACAACCCCTCTGAGATTGGTAGTAAAGATCAAGCATATTTACACAGTAGCTAGGTAGAGTTAATTTGGTTATGTCTGTACATTTATATTCAGATTCACCAAGCTATGTATTAAAATCATGGTTAATACTGGTGAAAAGAGGATTTTGCTGGACTGAATAAATTGTATTTCATATTTGTAATTTTCCATTAATGTCTATACAGATGAAAAAATATATATAAATGTAATGTTCAAATCTGAAATTGAAACTGTTCTTTTAAGTTCTTACTTCCATTAGTTTTTTTTTAAATTTTTTATTATATATCTAAAATAGTAGTGTGTGGATGGTGTTTAATGTTTATGGTAGTGGTGATAAGAAATGAAGTTGTGTTTGTTATCTGAAAAAAATTGTAATGATACGGTACATTCTCTTTCTCTTTTCATCGTTTCAGCCGTTGGTACAAGAAAGAGAGAAGGAAATTCATCATCAGGTAAAATGGTGAAATCAAACTCAAGTGAATCTTTGCTTGCTGGTACTAATTTGACATCTTATCACCACAGTAAGTCTATTATAAACTAACATAAACATATATATTATATCTGTCTCTTATACACATCTAGATGTGTATAAGAGACAGCTTTCTCAATGTCTACTCGTGTTTTGAACGGGAAATTGTAGGATCAATAATGCTGTATTTCTATATTTTAATGAAGTAGATTCTTGGTTAGCAACAATAGTGGTTGTGTGTGTGAACTATTTAACGATGTAGAAATTTATCTTTTTATTATCTTAATAACCAATTTATGTATTCAGGTGTTCAAAGCAAGATGCAAAAATGTATCACATGTTTTCCTTTTTCAAAAATTGGAACATTTAGAAATAATATGAAATTCATATATATATATATATATATATATATATATATTAATTACATACTAGAGGAATTCAGGCTCTGTTTGAATTGAATTTCTATCGCTTGCTATATTAAAGTAGATGAAATCCGAAATCTGTCATTAAAAGACTTATCAGCAGTGGTGCAACGCCGGAGAGCACTCGGGGTGAAACCCCAGGCAAAGTGGATCTTGTAGATGCCACAGGCTCCTCTTACTACTAACCAGCAATGTAATACAGACCGTTGACCACTGTTTTTTTTTGGGAAAAAAGACACACTGGAACACTCCTACTAATAACCCAGCAAGTACAAGTTGATAATAGTCACACAATATTTTTTTTTGGGGGGGGGGGAATGACACTGTTATTACATTGCCTAATAATTTAAAAGAATTTCCACATTCATATACTATAGTTTGTTGGACTACCCAGCCTTGGCTCACTCCTGAGCAAAAGTACTTTGCGGACATGAAAGGTCTCTAATATTTCTCACCAATGCCTATCAAATTACAAGAGAGCATGTTTCTGTGAACCGAAATTTGTCCTAATAATCTTGTCTATGGACACTTCACAAACTCAATCATTCTCAAGATATAACAAAATGAAAGTTGGCTTAATAATGTGACAACTGAGATTGCACATTTTATAATCTACCCACATAATATCAACACTAACATTGTCCAATGCACCATATACTTTTAGGTTATAGAATATTTATTTTTATTTGTTTCTGACCATGAAAATAATCTTGGTTGTAAACTCACCCATACATTACTTTTAAGTAAGGGAAACAATTATATTTATTTAAATAAACAACTGAGGGCCCTTCCAGAAGGACAAAAGGATCTATCAACTAAGTAACCAAGCAAGTAAGTAAGTAACCAAGTAACAATCACACTTGGTACCTGACATCCATGACTGTTGTGTTGAAATCATTGGTAATAAAATGAAAACTGGCAAATGTTCCATTGAGCTCAGTACATGATGGCTCTGACTGGTGGTTGCACGCATTTTCCAAGCCTGACTTTCATAAACCATTTCAATAATGTCTTTATGATGCTTAAAAAATATATTAAAGTATGCAGTATACGTTTCACTCTGCCATACTAATTAGCAGTATTTTTTCCTTAGATATCAACAAGGAACAAAGCAGGTTTTGCAGGTTTGGTGTTTATTGTCTCTGATAGAAACACCAACCTTCAGCATCTATCACATCACAGACACTACCTCTTACGTTAACAAGACTCCACTCTGAGACAGCATGCTGAGGTTTACTCGGCAAGTGTACGATTTAACACTGTGCACATATTCAGTATCTTGTGCTGGTACAGTATACACTGTGTTCTAGCACTGACGATGCAGTTGAAAGTACATAGGTCATAGGTCATACTTCAGCAGGATTAATGGACAACATAGTGCCAAACGAGAAATGCTGTATAACTGGAAACTTCAGCAGAACCTGTGGGAAAACAGAAGATAATTTTAGAACTGTGAACACTGAATTCACTACAGGTATCTATAATAGCCTGTTAGGGTTTGTCACAAAATCCATGAATATCTCCTGCTTAGAAGAGTGCACATGCAATTACTAGCACCAGTACTCTCAACCAAGATCTACAAAATTAATTACCAAGCAATTTAATAATAATAATAATTTACATTTTTATAGCCCACATGCGCAGTACCTCTATTAAATTATAAAACAAAATGCTTAATAATTTAACAATAATGTAATAAGGTATGGTGGCAAACAGCACTAGGTCTCAAAGGGTCAACCATCTGCCCTGGCCTAGGTGGTGCAAACAAAGGAGAAGGTTTCACATTTGCCCTGACGACCAGGTGCTCCATATCTGCGACCAACAGACACAGTAGGCTGCGCTGATATAAAGACATTTTATTATACAATTACTTGTTGGAATAAATAGTTTTTTATTAGTGACTTAAATGTATCAATGGATTGTACTTGTCTTACAATTAGTAGAATACTGTTCAAATTGTGGGGAGATTATGAGGAGAAGGCATTGTTAGCGTAATTGATTGTAAAAGATGTTTATGTCTGTTAATTATCTTTTTATAATTTTACTTTAATATTATTAAATCTATTTGATTACAATTATTAAATAAAAATTGTTTGTTGTACAAAATAATTAAATTTTTAATATAATTATAGGCTTATATCACTAATTCTTATTATTATTTAAGCATTTCATGTATGTTAACTTAATGAGTTTTCAACAGTGATTAGTATTAAATTTTCAATATAATTAGGCCTATATCACTAATTCTTATTATTATTCAAGCATTTCATGTATGTTAACTTAATAAGTTTTCAACAGTGTTTAGTATTTGTAACTTTAACTTGTAAGTTTAATTTATCTTTAAATGTGTTTACTTGTATATCTGATTACAAATATTAAAATAACTGTGTTTTTTTGTATAGTATAGTATTACCTCTGCCTTATACATTTTTAAAAGTCCTGAGTTGACCTTTGTCCAATGTGGGATGGAGCTGATTCCCCACAGGATGTTGGAATGCTCTGCAAAGGGTCCAGTTTTTACCTGAAAAAAAAGGACAAATAGAAACATAATTTCGTCATCTTATATTGTGCATATTTGAACAAGCTAAATAGAACAATATTATTCTAGTAAATTTCATACAATCAATAGTGCACAAAAACTAAGGTTTAATAAGTAAATCGTAATGTCATCATTGTAACGCCAACATTATTTACATATCTCAAAGTATGCACTCATTTTTCATTAGTGTATGGTTAGCCTGTCCTTTTTTCAATTCATGTAAAACTAAATTCAAAAATTTCCTTTGGGAATCAAAACTTCATATAATAATTTCCACTAATGTATGATATGCAAATACTGTATAATAATTTCTCAATAATAAAAAAAAATTCTTTCACATCTAACAGCAAATACACTCACCACTTCCAGGATGGAATAAATGCTAAGAAACTATGACTACGTTTTCAGTAGGTGAGGAAGAAAAACCCTGCAGTGAATGGGTTTGAATGTGGGATTCTCGTATTGGACACCAAGCATCCCACCAAGCTCAAGCACATTTCCATTCCGATGAACAATGACATGGTTCTCCCAATTGAACTATTTTTACTGGTAAATTTGTCCATAAAATTTCAGCTATGCGAGTAAGTGTGAGGCATTACTCCTTTTGAATGGGGTTTAATGACTTTTTAAAAAAAACATCACAGTTTAGGCATAGACTGGAATGATGTTCATTAAATTTTACAAACTCAAACTTTTTACTGGCTGGCTGGTTATTTTTACCGGTAAAATTGATGGTTGAAACAACTTTGGGAAAGCACATAGCTAGACAGGTACATTGCTGATTAATTGCGACAAAAGTATATTGAAATAAATTTATTTCCTATTTGAAATAAAATGTTGAAGGCAATTCAAATTCTTACCTCATTTATATATGCTATACAAGCCATGAACATGAAATCATGAGATGATTTCTTGGCAACTACTGGGTCAATGAAGGCCTCTGGCTTCAATGAATGACCTGCAACAGATTTTAAAAATAAACAAAAATTAAAAGGAAGAATCGGTTTATATCAATACATCACAATTTCCACATTAGATAAGTTACACTTTTTTAAACAAAAGTTGTTTTTTTTTCCAATTATATGTTAATCAAACTTTTAATGTCTTGTGTAAAGTTTGGATTTTGTTTAGATATGTATCTCTGCTGAGATTTTGATATGAATAAAGAATTAAAAAAAAAAGTCTAGGTTACTATTAATGATTGTATAATTCTGATTTATGCTCAGTGATTTCAGGTCCAAGACCTTAAGGGGGCTAGGAATATTCATAAGCAAAATCTAGTTCGCACTTACTTATAAGCTGAGAGCTTCCCCAAATGAAAGGCAGGAACTGGAAATCATCCAAGCCCCACACACCATGACTACCAGCTGGCTCCATCTTATAAACAGTCTGTAACTTCCTCATTAATGTCAAATACCTGCATAAAAACAATCAGCTACTTATATGTCATATTGTTCATGTACTGTAATATTGTTGAATGACTTTACTTCCAACTTAAAGGTCAAGAGTATATATCTGGAGCTGGTTACATTAAAACGATTTGGTTTCCCAACCTCGAGGATGGGATTTCAATCCCTCGCTGTGCACTTCGCTTCCTTGAGCAAGGCACTTTACCTGCATTGCTTCCCTCCACCCTGGAGTATACCATAGGTACCTGGTTGGGTTGACTGCTACTACGCCAATATGTCAGCAACAAAGCATGTGGACCCAATTACCAGGGAAAACAAAGTGCTTCATATCTTAAGGAAAAGTGCTATATAAATACCAAATAACAAACAAACAATAATAAAAAAAATATTGGTAGAAGTGCATTTTGAGAGCAGTTTTAACTGCCTCAATGTAAAAGCTTGACAACCACCACAAAGCACATTTGTTGCATAGAAAAGTTGCAACAGAAAGAAAGCTCTGTGGGCATTAAAGCTTAGGTTGCATCAAAGATCCCTAGGGAAAGTGAGTACATTTTTCATGCTTATTACATATTAAAAAAACGCATAAAACGGCTGCACTCGGTGCCTGGCTGGGCCTACTGTAGGTCTAAGCTTGCCTATTGCTTTTATTGTTGTAAAAACACACCAAACAAAGCTAGCATTCTTTTTTGTCTTCTTCTCAATCCCTACATAGAAGTACAATGAAACATCATTTTTACAGTACATTTGCAAGAGTGAAATAGCACCAAACGGTTTTAATCTAAGTCTAGGCCTATCAATCTCAACAAAAAAAAAAGGGTCACCTGCTGGTCAACAAAACAGATGTTTTGATGTTGAAACACATTGCATTGTTGTCCATAATGTTGCAAGATGGGATAAAATATTTGGAGGGAATGTTAAGGTAATTTATCAGAGAAATATTGGAGAATTTTAATTGCTGTGGAAACACTGCTATAGATAGTTACATGAGAAAACAAGTGGATTTATACATGGGAAGCCAGCACAAGATGAAGTTGGCAGGCCTTTTCCAATGCAAATGATTTGTTTTATAGTTAGAGGTAAGAGCAATTTAGTGAAGTAAACCATGTAAAGTAAAAAACTGGTAGCAATTTATTGACTTTTGAATACACTTAACATAAAATAAAACATCTATTTTCATCTTAATAAAACAGTTATTAACCAACCTGCAGAACACCCTGAGAACGACAGCTTCATAATCTTGGTCCGTCAAGTACCGGAGTTTGAATAGACAACATAAAAATGATGCAAAGTTCATCTCATGGCCTGTTCCATAGTCAATTCGTGTACTGTTCCCAAAGCCATCATTAAAATAGCCTTGTAATTCTATAATAGACGACCAATCTTTTTCTTCTATAATATTCTTCAGTAGGGTTTCTGAATTCTAAAAACATTGAACATTCTTTATTCCTACGTTGATACAATTTATCATTGACAGTGTCATGTTTATTTCATCTACAATATAGAACATACATAGATCACTTGTGATTTATATATATATAATATACATAGGACACCCATATTATGGAACACTATTTTTGGTCCCAAAGGTGCCCCTTTAATAGGGGTTCTACTGTGTTTTAATGGCATCAAGTCTGACTACCACCATTCACCATTCAATTTTTTTTTTTAAAGACTTTATGAATTTTTAATTTTTATAAAAATTTATTACAAAAAAAAACCCCTTTTTAATATTTTTCCAAAAGATGTCTCTGGCAGGATTCAAGCCTGCAACCTCTCGTCTAGGGTGTCTCTCAAACGTGAACATAGCCCAGCCTCATAAAAAGACTTGGAATGGGGACATTAGGACTCCAATTATGGGACCACCCTTATCAAATACAATATACACTGATAAAAATGAATAATGCACAAATAAATTGGTGGATAGAAATTCAAAAGGCTTACTACTGTGAGTCTTTCAAGCCATGTACGGTATGCTTTGTTACCAAAACGTTGTGGCTGATCTACTGGCGGTATCTCATCTATCCACATACTGAGAGTGTCTAGAAGCTCAAGTAACTTCTTACATTGCTGCGTAGAAAATAACAATGTTTTATAACAGACCTGTACTTTAAATATAGAGAACCACTCTTTTGGGACACCCTATTAAGGGGATACTACTATATAAGGGGACAATTTTTTAGCTGTGAATTGAGAAAAAAAAAACCATATCGTTTAACAATATGTTAGGGGAAAACCCTATTTAAGGACACCTTTTAATAGGGGTTCTACTGTATTAGAATTGCATCAAGTAACAGCCTCACTACCACCATACAGCACAGACACAAACAAATCCAGACAAGTGATTCCGAACTCCTTCCACTAAAGCCAGGCACACTCTGCACTGTATGACCATCGGCTGGCTCAAAATAAAAACGCAAGCCTCTGTCTGTGCCTAAAGCCAGGCACTTATTGCGCCGTATTAAGACAAATCCAACCCTGCTCCCTGTTAGACATGTGAAGTCATCTGCTGACTGACTGTGGCAGTTTCAACTGATCATTAAAAACGATACATTACGAGCATCATGGACTTGCATTTTGCATGGAATTGAACGTCAGACGCTGGCAGTTACTAGAAAAATGAGATAGATATGATTGCTAAAATTCTCGTATCAAAAACTACTACTCTCTTTAACAGTATCAAGGTCACAAAAAACTATTATTATACTCACTGGTGTCTCTTCAATATCATCTGAAACTTTCTTGCCTTTTACAGCATTATTCAGAGTTTCTATGAAAGCCTGGTATTCCTTGAAAGCCTATGAAAAATGTAAATGAATAAATTATGTATATATATATATATATTATATATATATTTTTGTTTTTCTGCCCCTATATTTTTCAGTGATGAGTTAGGGATGGGTGAGGAGGGCAAACAAGCACTTTTTTTTTGGCCTGATCTTGTATCCTGTTTTCATGTGTTTTTGTACATACTTTTCTGTCCGGCACTTTGGTCACTTTCCGTATAAACTTTGTCCGAAAAAGGACCAATATCAAACATGTACAGAACATAAATTAAAATATCGCGTCAATCTACATTCTACAACTAGAATGCGTTTCAAAATTAACGTGCAATGCATAACAATTTTCCCCATAACCTGTGAAATCATGTCAGGTTGCGTCGTACAACACTGTTTGAGTCTATAAATTCAGATAAAACACAGAATTGATCATTTACAAGAATCTAATAACTTTTAATCCCTAAGAAGACACAGACTGATTGAATCAATTCAGCAGCTTAGCTCAGTCGGCTAAACCAAGGTAGCCAAGTCTGTGTGTGAACCATGGAGATTTTTGTTACCTGGTTCAAGTCCATTCGCTGCTCTTCATGTATTTTGGCTATAAGTTTCAACAGTGCATGATCTATTGGATAATACATTTAGGGAGTGTGTGCAATATGGATATGGCACATGTGCACATTAAACAAATAGGTACATTCATTGGAAGTGTAGGGTTCTGTCTCTCAGTGTACTTTGCAATTTACATAAAAAAAATAATCTGAGTGGAAATAAGTCTTCTGACTTATGGTTTACCCTTGGGTGGATCTTACTCTCACACTGAATATGTCCACTCATCCATACCTCCAAATTCTCAAATTGATTACACAAGCCAATTGCAGGGAACTCTACATGCAAAGATACTGTATGTAAGCAGGGTGTCACTGAATTGGAAACTGAAAAATGCAACGGATGCAATTTAATCACAAAATAATAACATTTATCATTGATGGCAAACTCACCTGTGATTTCTGCCATCTAGAAAGGTCTGCAATTGTTTTTATCTCCTTCTTCAGCAGAGTATATGCATGAGAAGACGACATGACTAGAGAGGAAACAAAACCACTATTATATAGTCCTAGGATTAGAGACCTAGGCCCAGACTGTATAATAAGGCCTGTGCGGGGAATATACCCTTCGCGCAAAAATTAGTCCTAGAAATCTGTCCGTGCAATTCGGAACGTAAGGGCTGATTTCCACTCAGATTTTGCCGCAATTAAACTTTTGACCAAATCTTAATTTTAACCCAGAGCAATTATTATGCTTCCGCGCTCCTATTTTCCTAGTGATTTTCTGCTCAAATTTGAGCAGATGCATTAGGTCTCTTTCGCGCAATAAAACAAATTTACAGTATGGGTCTAGGCTGGGCCTAATTAATAATCAGCGACGGCTCTATGATACA